TTTAGCACCTCCCTGCTTCCTGTAATAAAGTGACGAACAGTTACATTATCATTTTTACCAGAGTGCACTGCAGAATCTCATGGTTCACATTTGGTTACAGCATTATGTTTGTTCTCAACTGTTTTTTCATTGCTACTGCCTATGTAAAGAAAAATCCATTTGTAAGTTAGAGTATTTGTACACCACACTTGCTCTATAGTTAACAATCTGCAACAAACTTGCATGTGTGTAACCTACGCTAGTTTATAACTCCAAAGATTTACAACTAAAGGTAGCCAAATTCACATTCAGCTTCCCCTCAAAGTAGTTAATGAGCACAACATATTCTTCTTGCAGCACTTTCCCCTCTCGAACATTTCTTACCCCCAGAAGCTCTCTCTCTCTCAGAGACAGCTCTCAACCTACTTTTCCCCTTCAGCAGCTCACGTTAGGCACAATAACCTAACACTGCACTGAAGCCAGAGTAAGAATGGCAAAGTGACATACCAGCAAGATGCATTCATGAACTGTAACTGCTGACTGACCAACCTACCCTTTCTGTCAAAGAAATGCGAAGGACATGAGTGATGTAGCACGTACCAGACAAGTGGTGCAGTTCTCCACTGCATGCAGTTTACCAGGAATGCATCTTTGAACTCATGTAAGTATCTTTCTACTAACAGTTTCTAAATCATGCTTCCTTCCTCTTAAAAACACTGTCCAAATGAAAGATAAGTCTTCAAGTGCCCAACAATATATAGTTCAAAAAGAGAGCTCAATTCACCTTCCATATCATCAAGTGAACGTTCATATTTGAAAAGTTACTAATTGGAATGACAGAACTCAGAGCAGTAATTCTGGAGACAAGATTTTGCAGTCCAGCAAGTGACTGCACCACCCTGTATTGTTCTGTAAACCAGAAGTTAAACAACAGTCTTGATTTAAAACCAACTCAAACTGAAACAGGGACTCGGAGAATGACACATTACCCCCAAGACTTGGCTTTTACAGTCAATGATGTGACTCTTGCTACCTTTGACACAGGAGTATTACTTTACATAGATAAGCTTAATGCAACAGGAAAAGGCGTCACATGTTAGCCACAATGTTACCTGAACTGTACAGAGATGACAAAAGACTTGCTGGTCAGAAATTGAATTTAAAAAGACTAACCAGTAACACGATTGTACAGGAAGAGTTATTTTAAATTAAAATAGAGAACAGCAGTAGTAACCGCTTTTGTTAACTTCTACTTAAAGGCCATTAAAGTAGCAACCCTAACTACTACTTCAGTCAATTTGAGATGTGCTAATGACAACAGTAGGAGGCACACTTGACTCAGAATAACTAGAGTTGAGATGAATATGTACAATGGGAATAAAAGTGTTTGAAGGCTACTGCTACACTTATGATTTCCTTGCAGTAACTGAAGCTGAGCACTGGCCATAAGCAGTTGCTGCTGAGCGCTTCACAGCTCCACTATGTTCATGGCACGGCAGGTATTTCGCATTTAAATACCTGCATCCAATATTCAAACTGGATTCAGTTACAGTTTGCTTCATATAGACCACAAAGTAAACTAGGATAGTCCATCAGTCAGTCACACCTTTGTTAGGATTTTGTTGCACATCTATAAGCAACCTTGAAATACTCAATTCCTTCAAACCAAATCTTCCCATCTTCCATAGATCAAGAAAAACCGCGGCCTTGGCCAGGACCTCCCTTGCTAGAGATACTAACCCCACCATTAGGTCACCCATAGAATTTCAGCTCTTCCTCCTTCTATTTTCTCCACAGTTCAGGACATCAAGCATAAGGGGCCTTACAAGGCAGTTCGAAAGCCTTCTTAAGCATATGGAGCAATATTCTCCAGAATATCAGCAGCAACTTGGAAACCCAAGCTGCATTTGATAAACAGCACCCAAACTCCCTTTGAAAGGAAGCATATCACTATTCTCAGATTTTACACTTTATCACTACAGAGCACGTACATAAAAATTAGGGATAACTGCACCATTCAGCATTAAAAAGACATTTTGCCAGAGACCATCACCAAGTCCTCTGTGCTGGCGTTGATCCACAGGATTCCTACTACAGGATTTGCTCCAATACTTCAACACTGTATTTTAACTGAGTTGAAAGCAACTGGCATCTTGCGTCCCCCCAAACAGCAGAAATTTTAAAGAAACTGAAGCATCTGTGGTACACTAGAAGAGCCTCAAAAGAACATATGCCCCAAGACTCTGCAGAAGTACCAACTGTGCTCACCCCATTCTGTTATACATCTTGCAATCAAGAATTATGATACACCTGTATCAACTTTGGACAAGCCATGAGAGGTACAACTTAGTCTGCATAATCACACTAAGCAGCCTCACTCCGCCAGCACTACAGAGTTTAGAAGACTCTAGAGAGGTAGGACACCTAGGATGCCTACGCTTGCTAGCACGATTACAGAGAAGAAAAGCTCTTCTATAGCTAAGAAACATTATTTCAATACAATTAAAAGTAATCATCAGTTAGTTATAGTTGGTGTAATATAGCATGGAAGAAAATCATTCATATTTCCCTAATAAAATAATTATGCTTTGAAGGTTCATCAATCCTCAAACCATGGCATTCTGGAAAACCAATGACATCTAAATTTCAGTCCATCTCAGTGAATCCAGATTGTATTTTGATACAAATCACACATAACAAATATCACCAGCCTATCAACAATTATATTTTCCTAGAGAAGGAAGAGGATGTACCCATCATACCAACAAATACCAAGTTCCTCCTTTTATTTCTAAATGCAAACAATAAAACATGACTTTATCTTAAAATATTCTACCAGCTGTAGAGTTTAGTTCCTTTAGCAAATACTTTTAACAGATATAAAATGTATATTGCTGTTGCAAACTTGTCATTTTGTATGCAGTCTCCTTATGAGAGGAAAACTACAGCCTTCAGAATAATTTAACGCACAAGGCACTCCTGTAACATAGTTAACTTCCAAACAAAACATCAAATATTTCCCCCCTTACAAATATTTTCATTCATGCTTTTTGCAATCTGTCATTTTAAATACTACTTACAAAATTCTTCGATCAATTGAAAGCTCAGCAATATGCCCTTTATTAAATGAGCTTCTTTATTAAATTATTTCAAAGAAGGTGCCACTTTGGACAGTTTGACCACATGGTATTGATGATGATTAAGGCACTTCAACAAAGGCAATGTTAGTGAAGTGACTGATGCCAAGCTGACTTCAGTTTCTGATCAGTAAGTGTGAAGACTTGAAACAGATTTCAGGGGTTAAAGTCAAGAAACTCCAAAATTGCAAAGATTAAAATTTCAAATAGAAGTCATAATTTTGGTGGATTATTGATCTCCTCTCAGCTCAAACTTCATGTAAGCAGTTTAAGCAGAGCCCAACACTGGATAATTTCACTTTTTTTTTTTTTACTTAAAATTAATGCTCAAAATGCAAAAGAAATGCTCAAACGAAGACCACAGTAAATACATAGCTAGCATGGAGGAGCAAGGCATGCTTAAGGGTCACAAAGAAAATTGGAAGCTTAATTCCACAGTCAGTAAGCATAGAATAATGGCAATAACATAATCAACCAAGTTACTGGTAGAATGCTCAAGAAATCATCCAAAAGCAAATATGAATACAAATCAAGAAATCTGTTAATAAAATCTCTCAGTTTGACTGGAGTAGATACAAAATTGCTTTTGAGGGGAAGAAAGCTTTGTTGCAGTTACTGCAATCAGTCATTTGTGAGCAGCTAACAGCTTAAAAACCCCTCAAAGACTTCTGGGATTTTGACCCAATGCTCTTTTGTCTGCCCTAAATTGGATGGGAACAAACACAATAATAAAGCCATACTACATGAACCCCTCTATGGACTGCACCAAAGCCCAACACTAAAAAAAACAAGCACTATCCATTTAATTTAATGCTGAGGCTTTGAAAACAAACTAGTACACCAGGTGTTTGTTCCTGGTACTCCAAGCTCTTCCCACTTCTTTTAAGGTTGTTGCACAGCAACCTGCACCTTGATTATACAAGCTCTGACTCGTGTGGAACTGAGGGTGTTCTTGCCATGGTTAGACTGGGCTTCTACAAAACTCTGGCTCTGCTCAGGCCAGAAACCTGGCAGAAGAGTATTATCTTAGTCCAGTTTAATCCACCAGTCATTTGGAAAGGTTAAACTCCAGAGTTTTGTTTAAAGCTTCCTTTCCTTGTGCCTGTATCAAGTGTGAACCCTAGAACTCAGAACGAAAAAAATCAGCTTTGCAAAACCAAAGTCATGTAGTCCATCACATTGTATATGTTCTAGGGTTACCTCCTACAAGAATCCACTGCCACAAACACACTAAATGTCTGTGAAATTAACATTTTAATTTTTTTTTTCTAAGAAAAAAACCTAAACAAATTTTAAAAAATTAAGGCTAGCTCAAGTTGATGTTCACTTACACATTTTCCCTCAGCCTCTCTGACACCAAAGCCATGTAGTCCATCACATTGTATATCTTCTAGGGTTACCTCCTACAAGAATCCACTGCCACAAACACACTAAATGTCTGTGAAATTAACATTTTAATTTTTTTTTTCTAAGAAAAAAACCTAAACAAATTTTAAAAAATTAAGGCTAGCTCAAGTTGATGTTCACTTACACATTTTCCCTCAGCCTCTCTGACACTGCATACAAGTACTTTTACAATCCTCCAAGCTACCTTTTGGAGGCGTAAAATGCAAGACGCTGTAAGAAACAGAACTGTAGTATATTTTTTGATGATAAAGCTAAAAAGATCTTTAGTGAGCAGAGTATTTAAAAGAATTAAAAGGCAAACCAACTCCAAGGGAAGGCTGTACCCTTCTTCCAAAGGAATGCCTCATGTAAGGTTTGCAGTTCCCTGCCTAAATAAAGCAGGCCTCAAGTTGATGGATTTTTACCTCCTTAAAGCACACAGCCTAGCACCCGGAGAGTGACTGTGCTTTGGTAATTCACAATTTTTATTTATATTACCTGCAGCTCGCACCAGGCGACTTCCACAGTGGTATCCGTATCCAGTCCTTTATACACAGTTTTGAAAGAGCCTCTTCCAATCTCAATGTCAAACTTCAGGAAGCGGCCATCTGGGGAGATGCCCACTGCCTTGGTCTCAAGTTCTTCGATGTCTTCCTGCTGCGCTCTCCGCTCCTCAAATTCCCGGCTGGCAGCTGATGCGCTGCCAGCGGCACTGGTGGGGGGTAGCACGGTTGCCTCATCCTCCTCCTCCTTCGGCAGCAGTGGGGCGGCATCCTTTGAGGCAGGGGGCTCCTGAGCAGGCTGTCCTTCGAGGGGAAGCGGGGCAGGCGGCGGCGGCTGCTGCAGCAGCAAGGGAGCTTGGGCGGCGCTGACAGCGATGCAAGAGGACCGG